TCTTTTGCCGTTAATAAGGTATGTCAATATCTTTCCAAGCCCACTGATGTACATTGGGAGGCAGTCAAACGTATCTTAAGATATGTCAAGGGAACAGCTGCTACGGGACTTTACCTCCGGCGCTCCAACTCTACACTTCTGAGTGTGTTTACAGATGCCGATTGGGCTGGCTGCATGGATGATCGCAGGTCTACTGGAGGTTTTGCAGTATTTCTAGGTCCCAACCTGATTTCATGGAGCTCACGCAAGCAACCCACAGTATCTCGGTCCAGCACTGAAGCTGAGTACAAGGCCTTGGCTAATGGGACAGCTGAAGCAACGTGGGTACAATCCTTGCTGAAAGAATTGGATGTGTGTCAGCCGCGACCACCAGTATTATGGTGTGATAACCTTGGAGCTACCTATTTAACAGCAAATCCAGTGTTTCATGCTCGAACGAAGCACATAGAGGTGGATTTCCATTTTGTCAGGGAGAAGGTTGCATTGGGCACTCTTGATGTCCGATTTGTATCTTCCAAAGATCAGGTAGCTGATGGATTCACCAAGCCAGCCACTCGCTACATGCTTGATCGCCTACGACACAATCTGAACCTTGTCATGGTTAAGATTGAGGGGGAATGTAAACAAGGTAGTTAGCCCAATCGAATAGGCATGTAAATCATAGCATGATTGTAGGGATTGTAAACAAGGTAGTTAGCAATCCTATAGGCATGTAAATCATGGCATAGCTTGATTGTAGGGATTGGGCTGTTATATAGGATCTGATTGTTAGGATTTGTTGTAATCCCTACCTTGTACAAATTGTCTATATAAAGAGAATGAAACCCACGGGGAAATTGTAAAGGCAAATTCAATTTTTTATCTACACACACACACGCTAACTAGTTATAATGAAGAAGGAGGAGCAGTGGCTTCAAGTCTGCAAAGATCAGAGATTAATCTCCACCGCAGAAGCTACTTGGAAGCTTAAAGCAATCTCTTTACTTTCTGCCGTAAGATTGAGTTGTATAGCACTGTAGCATAAACTAGAGCAATACTCTCTTCCCCATGCTTCGTTCTTCGTACATGAGCAAGATATACTTCCCAAGTCCCCATGCCTCTCTCTCTCTCTCTCTCTCTCTCTCTCTCTCTCTCTCTCTCTCTCTCTCTCTCTCTCTCTCTCTCTCTCTTAATTAATTGAGAATAAACCACTTAGTGGTGTTTGTTTCACCATTTTTATGGAATAAGAATAAGAATTAAATCTAAGGGGTTGTTTGGTTCCTTGTTTTTGAGGGAAATGCTCTCTTGAAAGCCTGCCAAAAATGTCACTTTTTGGTAGGCTTTCAGCCAAAATCTTCTTTTTTAGAGACGATTTTGGCTGAAAGTCTGCCAAAAAGTAACACTTTTGACAGGCTTCCAAGACAGCTTTTCCCTTAAAAACAGGGAACCAAACAGCCCTAACAGGAGCAAAATCGTAAATAAAGGATTTTTTATGAATCCTATTCTTGAATTTGGTTCACAACAAATTTATAAATTTTGAAATCTATAAAGTTGAAAAAATATGGTGATTTTATAGAAACCTAAATCCTAATGATTTGGGAGGATTTGGGGTAAAAAACTGACACACCTGTACTATTCTCCCTCTTTTTTTTTAGGATTTCGTTTCTTCACAAACCCTATATTATTATGAGACCGAATTATATTCTCATTCCAAACCAAACTAAAGAATAGGAATTTGAGGGTTTCTATAAAGTTGGATTTTATTTTTTCATGTTATGAAACAAACATAAAAATGAAAAAAAGAAAAGGATTTCATGAATCCATAAATTTGTCTTAAATTTTTTATGGATTTGGTAGGAATCCATAAGAAAATCGGATTCATAATCCTATTCTTGTTCACTATTGAACCAAACACCCCCTTATAGTATCACCCGGTTACGAAGTGACCCGGTGTAGTGCTACTTATTGCCAATAGATCTCCTATATTTCTACTTATTATGAATAGACCCTTGTAGTATTGACCCAAGTTCGAACCATAAGTTAAAATTTTTGACTCTTTTCAAGAAAAAAAAATGGGTGTCCAGCCTCACCGATAGAATTATAAGGTGTATCTGCCTCCTTAAACATATTTAACAGTTTTAAGAGTAAAAAAAACGACAAGTAAAACTACATGGGGTCTACTAAAACAAATAGAACTACAAGGGGTCTCTTTGCAATTGAGTGATATCGTAAATGTTCTATTATCAATAAATAAATACACGGGGGTCTTTGCAGTTGAGTGACACCTTATGGAGGCCTGTTTGCAATCAATATTTGTTTTTGTTAAAAGAAAAAGAAAAAAAAAGGAAAGGGTTGAGAACTGGGCAGCTCTCCTACTCCTCTCATTTCGTTTTATTTTATTTTATTTTTGGTTGTAGAAAGAAATAGCCAAGTAGGGAGCTCGGCTCAAAGTAGTAGTAGGATCCTTAGGCTTATCATGCTGTTTTACTTTTCATGTCTTTGAGGGGTCCTTGGAAGAAAACAAAGGCTTCAAGTGTAAGAATTCATGACCCAATTAAAGCTAGCTCTCCATGAATTTTGCTCTTTTGGGTTTTGAAGAGTCGCATCCAGTTGTGATCTTGTGGATTATGCATGACGACACGATGCAGTAAGGCCACAATTTTTTGTATGATTACAGCTAACTTAGGTCCAAATATCATTTCAGGTGCTTATTAATGTGCATTGTAATGTAGTGAACACCTTTAATTAGAGAGGGATTGACTTAACAAATAGATATCTTAGATTCGAGTCTCAAAAGTCATGTAAGAGATTTGGACAGAGATTTTAGTTGAAGAAAAACTCTCGCAAAAGAAATGATGACATTACGTGGACTAGCTGGTGATAAATTATAAATTATAAGGAATGCTTGATATAATTATTGATGACGATGGTTAATTTATATACTAGCTGGAGACTAAATATGAAAAGATTCAGAAAAGACAGAAAATAAAAGAGTAAATGATTAACTAATTAATATTATTCCAAATACATGATTATAAGGTACAGAATATAAAAAAATATGATATCAAGAAAATATATACTGCTATATTTAACTGTCTAAAGTCTAGTGCTGATTTAAAATGATAACCTACACTAATCAAAGATAATAACACTGCAGTTAAACAGTAGCATGCTAATTAGGCCAACATTTGCGTACAATCTGGGCCGTCCGAAAATAGCCCAATTATACGATTTACTTGTGATCAAGTTTTATTGGGCTAAGTATTGTTATCGTTTGGGTTGGATTGGGCTTTTACTTCACCTGTCAATGGCCGGAAAGATGTGCTTCGATGGGCTTGATATATCCCAACATCTCCTTTGTAACGCAAAGATTGCGGTTCCTGGAAGGCCCGTGGGCCATCATTCTCCCATGTAGGCCCAATTAAGGCCTGATTAGGTTTCTGCGAAACACGGAGTTGGTGTGTTGAAAAGGGCTCTTCTATCGCTCTATAACAGTATGCTTCACGGTTGTGTCACACCAATTAATTATATATATGCTCCACATTGACTTTCATGGGAGAATGAAAATGGGAGGGGAGAGCAGAAGAGCAGGCAACAGGAGCAAACGACTGGGCCGGGTAGAACATTCAGAATCCGGATTCGATTTTTCGGCTTTGCGGGATTGTACGTTTAGAAGCAGGAACTAATAAGGGTATCCGTATCCGAAGAAATATCCGTAAACGTATCCTAACGGATACGGATATGATTACTCAAATCTATAACCGATAGGATATGATTACGGATATGGTTTTGTAGTAAAATATACGTATCCGTATCCGAAATATCCAAATACATATTAGTCATACTCTTACGATAGTTTTGATTCTTAGATTATGGATTTATGATTAATTTTGATGATCAATATGTCTAATCTTAACTTTTCAATTATAATGAACATATTAACAAACTCTTTTGTATCACATGAACTATGTTTTAACTTTTCAATTATAATGAACATATTAACAAACTCTTTTGTATCACATGAACTATGTTTTTCTCCATACTATCTAGTTTTTTTTGTATCACATGAACTATGTTTTTCTCCATACTATCTAGTTTTCTCATATCCGTTTTGTATCCGCATTGCATATCCGCTCATATATCAGCATGTATATCCGTAACCGTATCCGATTTTAGCGGATATGGTTATGAATTTTCCTTACCAAGATATATCCGTATCCGTATCCGAGATGGGTAAGCGGGTATGGATATGATAAGCATCGTATCCGAGCTGTATCCGGACCGAGTGCACCCCTAAATAAGCGCCAGGACGTACCCGTGTAAATGCCTTCCGAGATTTTATTATTGCTCGGACTGAAGTTTTTAATTAATTTTTCGTTAAAACAGTCGTAAAATAGTCGTGTATCATGTTTCTATGACTTCGAATCTGAAAACTCTACATTGCGGTAGAACTGTTTTCTTAGAAATTCGAAATCAAAATTCCTAGTCAACACCCGCCGCATTATACGAAGACTTTGAACCGGCGATAGA